AAATGAGACATTCATTTTGATACGATCCAAAAGTAAAGGTGAGAGACTCATTTTGATATGGAGAGAGTGCTCTCTATTTCCTTTTTGCAAAACTCACATTTAAAAACTTTAAATTCTAGAGCCCGTTTGGAGAACTCTGTTTTCGGCTTATCAGGCTTATCAGTCAGCTTTTTCACCAAACACGTAACTTTTACTTTCGCGTGCTGAATTGTGTAATAAGCCGAAAAAGTAAGGTTGGAGTTACTTTTCTGGCTGTATTGGCTGAAGTTACTGTAGAGGACCATTTTAGCTATTTTTACATATAATTTTTTCTTTAATTTATTAATAAAATATATTTTTAAAATATTTTTTTCTTAAATCAGCAGAATCAGCCAAAACAGCCACTCCAGCCAGAATATCATAAATTTCAGCAGAATCAGCCAAAACAGCCGATTTTGGTACTACCAAACGGGCTCCTAATGTAAATTTTATAACCTCTAATTTCGAGTCATATGGAGTTATGAACTCACGTGGTTTCATACTCGCAACTTATCTTCATAATTTATAATGGGATCTCCATTTTAAAAGCACGTTGTTGGTCAACATGAAACCACATGGACTCATACGACTTCATAAATGATTCATATCAATATATCATCATTATCATGTCTTTGATATTTTATCTTCTAATCTAACATGCACTCCATATAATTATTTCTAGTTGATTTCTCACTTTTCAGCGGTATAGTTCTTGTTGAAGAAATGTGTTAAACTTGCATCAAGTGGTCAATTTCGGGCATTATTTTGAGTGGGTCCATTTCCGATTTGGATCGGGTCAAAGTGGTTTCGGAATCCCTTGTTAAGAGCTTCAATTCGATATGGGTATACTCAAAACAGATAATGGGTGAATGAGAAATCAATTCTCGAAATTCAATCGTTGAAATGAAGAAAACTGGGAAAATAATGGATTTCTAGTGTGATTTATCCCATATAAAAAAACTCAAGGTATTTTCACCCCCTTATAAAGGTGACCCTCTTTAAAGGAGTTAGTATTCCAGTGTGAAAAGGCTCTCTTCACGCGCATGGTGGGTGCCGATCAAATCTCGAAAACAAAGAAGAAAAACTTTGACTTACGTGCGTCCGCGACCTGCGGACATGCCCAATTACAACTTTAAATGGATATTTTTTCGACATATTAATGTCCAACATTCTGGTCATTTATGTCCAACGTTCAGGTCCATTAAAGGTATCTTAACACACAACAAATTCATTCATATACATATTTGCCAGGTGATTTGCAACAACACGGTTAGGACGTAGTTTTTGAGCTAAAGTTTCACTCCACCTCTCTGAAAAATCCTCAGTGTTGATACTTCGTTTTTCTTCTCTGGAATAACCGATTGTGTGCTCATACGGTTGTTCGTAGCCACCCTATCCAGAAAAACTATCGCCGCAACGCTCCTAGCACCTTGGGAGGCAGTGAATACATTTTAAGGAAATTGTGTGTTGCACAAGTTTTGGCATTCTGTCCCTTCTTGATTCTATTTTGTTGGCTGTTCTAATTTAATTAATTTCTTTAATTTCCTATTATACACACACAATTCATCCAACAGTTCTTTCACGGGAGTTTCTCATAAATTAGTCATAATTAGAGGTGCAACCGAGTTGGAACATGGGTATGTTTGAGTTTGATCAGAATTCACGATCTCGAATTCGAGCTCGAGTTTGAATGAGTTAAATAATTCAGGCTTGAACTCGAGCCGAGCTTAGCTTGAGGTCAACTCGAACTCGAATCAAGTTTTGCTAAATAATACTATGTATTTTTTAATAGATTTAGCCTGAATTAGATGCTCGAACTCGAGCTCGAAATCGAAGTAAAAATAAAATTTCTATTTTGAAATTATTAATGTTGCATTTTACATACATAAATTTATAATATTTGTACTTAATCATTCTCATTTTTAATTCATCTCCCATTCATCACTGACATTTGTATTATATTCTTTATTTTACTTTCAATAAATATTACTCCGTACATATTATAATTATTACATACAAGAAATAATTACATGAATATGACCAAAATAAAGATGGTTTACAAAAATATGATTAGTTACTAGAGTAGTACTGAAATCATAGTAATTAATGTTCAAGTTTTGAACTTAAGTTACTACAACACCACCTTATAGTAATGAATAGTTATATTTATGTAAATAAGTTTTATTTTATTAATATTCTTGTAAAAAACCCTTATTACAAATTATGGTTATAGTAATAATAATAAATTATTAATGATAGTAATACAAATATTACGGAGTTTATTTATGATTATTACTATTATTAATATACACCGTAATAAATCTTGAAAATGTAATAGTTATAAGGAAAAATTGAAGATAATAATCCCAATTATTGACGATCCGCTGATAATAATCCCAACTATTGATTATTTTTGTATAATCCCAACTATATGGACCGTCTGCCAATAATGGTCCATGAACAGATATTACCTCCTAAAAAATGAATTTTAAATAGAAATTAAGTGTAAAAATTAAAAGTTGAGATTATTTATATGGATTATCTGCTATATCTCTCCTCATCCACTTCAGAAACTACAAGAATTTATTTATAGGGACCATTATTGGCGGAAGGTCCCTAAAGTTGGGATTTTTTTGAAATAATCGATAGTTGGAATTATTATAAGCGGGCCGCCAATAGTTGGGATTATTACTATCAATTTTTCCTAGTTATAATGCATATTCCAAATATTATACACATACACACAAAGGCTTGTGAACCTACTTACGAGCCTAAAATAAATAAATTTGAAATAAACATGTTAAATATTCAAACTGAACCAAAATCGAGCCGAGCTTTAATATGACCGAACTTGATTCCAGTTTTTCCCAAGGGTCCATGAACAGCTTGTGAATGACTTCACTCATTTAGCCCCAAGTCATAATGTATGCGTGCCTATATATAGTGGAAGGTCTAGGGATATTAGGATAAGCGTCCCTACTTCCTTTATTAGAAAATAGTATTAGTATTTCAATTCTGTGATAAATTGGTGATCTGTTGCTGATTTAGTTGAGTTGTATTTTGTTTAGATAAGATTTAAAATCTGAATGTTGTAAACCCTGATAGGAACATTATTTTGTTCAAAAAGGAAAATTATATTGGAATATAATGACACATCATAGTAGTGTTTAGGATGTTTTTATTTGGACTGTAATTTGTCCCAGACTAAACCAGACCAGAACAGAAAAGACCGGATCAAACTTGGATATTTATAAAAATACAAATAACCAGACCAGATCATTCAGACCAGACCAGCAAATTACAGTCTGAGTAAAAACATCCTTAAATCCTTAATGGGCCAAACTAAATTTGGCACACTAGTCCTATGTGATTTAATTAATGCGTCAAACCCTCGATGTTGTAGTTATCCATGCGCAAAACCCCTCTATGAACAAATTTAAGCAAAATAAATGGAAATTGATTAGTATTTTCGCACAATTTAGAGATCTTGACATATTTACTTGCATATTCAGATGGTGTTTGGATCTACTTGTCAAAACTGTTTCTGCTCCTTCAAGAAGTTGAAGCAGATATAGAAGTATATGAGTGAAGGTGCAGAAGTACTTCTGAGTGATCCAACATGTTCCTAGAAGTAGTTTTTTAGAAAGTTGGGAAGACCAGTTTCTGGAAAATTGATTCCGAATCTACTTCTGCTTTAAAAAAAGCAAAACCAGAATTAATTCCAAACATCTTCTCAATCATAATATTAAGAAAAATAATTTCCAAATTGTCAAACTTGTTGTTGTAGATAGTTTTGCACATGAATAATCATAACAGAAGAGAATTTGACACATTTTTAAATCACATGGGACTATTGCTCCGAATCTATTATCACAAGGGCATTTGGTGCAACCCATCACAACATCACTTTAATCATGCTTTTACATCATCTGTCCTAAAATAAAGTCACCATTTTCGGGTTATGATGCTTAATTACATGAGGATAACTATAACTTCTCCTTATACTATTTAAGTTAGTATTAACAGGTGATATTGACATATTTACTATCAATATTGAATCGCAAGATCAAATATAATAACACTGATTAAAAACAGCTTTGGCACAACTTTTATCCTTCATTTAGCATGATTTCGTGAATCCTTTTCTAATTCATGCCTTAATCTCTGCGAAATCGTGAAAAAGGATTTGTCAATACGTGCATGCCAAATTGGTGTTAAATTGCTTATTATAGTATTGTAATATGATACATAATAAGTTATACGGAGTATATAATATCTTATATTTAAATGAATTTGTGTTAAAATTGCTTAAAATTGGATTTCACTTAATTCTTGTCTATTTGCCCGTTCCTCTTTCTTAGAGTTATATAACATGTTTATTTTTACATTATTCAAATGCTATAATTTGACTACACTTTATTTATTTATCATTAAATTCTTCTTATTTTAAATTTCAAAAACTGATTTTTTGCATACTTAAAAACTGAATTTTATAAGACTGTTTTTTTTAATTATTTTACTAATTAGAAATAAGAAATGAAATATAGTAATTAGTAATGATCAAATTTGTGTGTTAATAAACGTGAAAATGAAAATGTTGCAAAAACAGAATATGTGTATGCATGAGGTGAGAGAGAAACAAATCAGGTAGAATGTGATTTTGAACATGTTAAACCTGCATAATCTATACTCCCTTCGTCCCACCAAACATTGTCAACTTTGTCCCAAAAAAACTTTGTTAGTTTTAAGGAATGAATGAATGATAGACTTTGCCAACTTTGGATGTTTTTTTTTGGACTGAAATTGTTGGTCTGCTCTGTTCAGATTTGACCTGGTCTGGTCTGAGACTGAAAACAATCCAAAAGAAAACATCTCATATCACTCAAATTCATTGTTTTTAAAGCAATGAGTTTGTGGCTCTGTTCATTTATGTCTCTTTTGCACAAATCTAAACACAATTTTTACTTTTCAAATTTTTCACTCAAAAGTCGACAAAGTTGAGTGAGACCAAGCTAATATAATATACTCTGTAGTATATTGAACATGTTATATAAATGAAAATTTAAAGGTAGATTCTATGGTACCCAAAAAGGTACTGGAGTTGTCACCAAATTTAAATGGTATATGCAATTTGATAGATCGAAATTACAAAGCACTAATCAATAATCTCACAATCTTGACCACACACCTATCTGAATTCTGAAACTTCTTGTAAATGTACAGTGAATGTCAGCCATGACTGATGTCGAGGTACTATGTTGTTTGGCACTGTCGTCTCGGCCGTCACGAGCAATCGTCGTCGTCGTCCCAGTGCTTTTCCCGGCGGACGAGCATAGAAATGCACCGCCTCATTATATAAAGCTTGGCCTTCTGCTCCTTGGCCAGGCTTTTGCACTTGCGGGTGAAAGTTTTCACGGGGGGCTTCTTGGAGGCGGAAGGCGGCGGCGCCGCCTCCGCAGGCAGCAGGTTCTTATGGGAATAAGTCCTCGAGAAATAAGTCGCCGGAGGGGGATTGTCTTCACTCGAGGTCCTCTGGGAAATGCTCCTCCTCATCTTCACACTCAACGCCGCCGGGGGGTTCGAAGATGATGGCGGCGCTCTACTGCTCGGGTCATCTTTATAGTAGTAGTCCATTCTTGAATTTCCGGGCGGCGGCGGCGGCGGGCAATGTTTGGGATCTCAGAAAGGCCGGCTTGGTGAGTAACAGAGTTTGGTAGCTAGCTAATTAAGTACTCTGTATAAGGGAAGGGGAAGGGGAGTGTTTAAATGGATAGACAAAAGTAGTTTGATGAGTTGTTAGGCATTTTGAATTTATAGGGGGCTGGGGGACAAGGTGAGAGATGCTCGCAATGGCTTTGACCAGTCTCGATCCGGTTGTGAATATTTTTCACTTTCTTCTCCCTCAACCATACTCATAAATGATTAAATATCAATTTTATTATCAACCATACAAACAATTTGTTTTGCATATGTAAGCTATATACTCCCTCCATCCATAAATTAGCTTTCATAGTACATTTGGTACGTGGATTATGATAAGGAGTATTGTGTGGACATAGTTGTGTAGAAGAGAGAGAAATGTGTAAGAATCGTTGTGAATCACAATTTTTTAGAGAGATTTATCTTAATATGAGCAAAACATGACTTGTTAAGATTCGGGGTTCCATTCTAAAAGGTCAACCTGTTAGGAGGAGTAGCCTGAAGCTTAATATAGCACTCTAATGCTTCTCAATTTTCCGGTGTGGGATATTTAACACCCCTCCTCACGACCAGACACTTCGTCTGGATCGTGTCGTCATTCATTTTTTCATCGGTTCGTCAACATTTTTTTATCGTGTCGTCATTTTTTCATAAGGGACCCCACACCATGGATCGATTCGGCTCTGATACCATGTTAAGACATGAGGTTCCATCCTAAAAGGTCAACCTGTTAGGAGGAGTAGCCTGAAGCTCAATATAGCACTCTAATGCTTCTCAATTTTCCGGTGTGGGATATTTAACATGACTTTTTTCTCAATATCGGACCAATTAGTTTAAACATTCTTAAATAAAACTTTTTATATATGATTGGACCAAAATACCCACACTACTGTCCATGGACTGCTGCCTGCCGCCGGTAATCTTCCAGATTTTTTTTCTGGCGGTTTGCCAACATTTACGCCGCCGCCGGAATTTACCACCGATCGCTGCCGCCACCACGGACTGCCCCGCCACCGATGGATTGCATTGGTTGTGAAAGGAAACTAGGGAGACAATTATTTAGATCAATTAATTAAATAGAATTAAGGACAAAAAAGTAAGGTTAGTCCTATTTGGAGAAAAACATATATGTGGTGCTATTTTGGGAAAAGGCTTGAGTTTTGATCCTATGTTGGACAATTTTCTCAATTTTTACCAAAAGATAAAAACAAAAATTTATTTTGGGATGCACAAAATTGAAATGTGGAGGTTTAATCAAGGACGGATAGAGTACTATGTTTTTTTGTGTTGGTAGAACCCATTTGAACACCTATTTGTTCAACTTTCTAGCCTTAGTTATTATCCAACATTTTAGTTACACCTATTTAATTGTCAAAACGAACAAATACATAGTTGCTCTTCCCACTAAATTGAGTGAAGTTGCTCAAGGGAAACCATTTAAGATTCTTTTCATAATTTTTGGTATAACGTATAATTAATAAATAATTAATTGGATGTCTATCCATTCAATTTTTTTTGTCCTTTAAAACTTTATCACCTTTCCTTTTTTAGTTGCCCACAAGAACTTTGTTATTTTTTCGTATTAATCAATTAATTTGGGACTTCAATCACTTCTTTATTTAACATAAATTTCAATCATACAATTTTTATTTTAATACTCTGTGCATCGGTCATTTTACAAAGTTTTAAGTTAGGAGGGAGTAAAATAAAGACAATTTACCTGAAATAGGATTAAAAAGGTTTGAAAATTCCAAAAAAGGATTGTCATGTTTTTATTCTCAAAATAGGACTAATTACTGCCATGTTTTGGCAGTACCAGACTTCAAACATGGCAGTATTTTCCAAACTTGGCAGTAATTACTCTTATTTTGAGAATAAAAAACATGACAGTCCTATTTTGAAATTTTCAAACTGTTTTAGTCCTATTTCAGAAATTTTCACTAAAATAAATAGAAATTTACTTTTAAAGTGTGAATATCTCAATGGCCCACATATAAAATTGAACTAATAAATGGCTAAGTGCTAGTCTACGGTTGGGTATCATTACGTGACGGTGAGATTATAGTACTCCACAAAGTCACATACGTAGTTCCAATTACTCCGTAACAAATTTGTAGGTCAGTCTGACACGGTCTTAGAAGCTGTTCTCTTCGCCTGATCTGAATGTTTCTGATCTGAATTTTTTAAGTTCTGATCTGATCTGATCTGAATTTTTCTGATCTGATCTGATCTGAATCTTTCTGATCTGATCTGATCTGATCTGAATCTTTCTGATCTGATCTGATCTGATCTGAATCTTTCTGATCTGATCTGAATGTTTCTGATCTGGTCTGATCTGATCTGAATGTTTCTGATCTGATCTGAATCCTTCTGATCTGATCTGAATCTTTCTGATCTGATCTGATTTGAATATTTCTATAATTATAATTATAATTATAATTATTATAATTGCAATTACAAATATAATTTAAATAAAATTATAATTATAATCGTAACTATAAAAATAATAATAATAATAATAATAATTAAAATTAAATTTAAAATGAAAAAATTTATACTTATTACACTAATTATAAATATAGATATAATTATAATTGTAATTATATTTTTAATTATAATTGTAATTATAATTACAATATTTATCTATATAATTGTAACTATAGTTATCAATATTATTATAATTACTCCGTAAAATAATTACAATAGTAATAATAATAATAATAATAATTATAATCATAAATTATAATTATAAGTATAATTATAATTATTATAATTATAATTAATAATAATTATAATTATATTAACATTAATTATAATATTATAATATAATAAGTATTATATTATTATAATATTATATTATAATTATAATCATAATCATAATTATAATTATGATTGTAATTATAATTATAATTATTATAATTATAATTAATTACAATTATAATTATAAATATTTATAGATATAATTATAATAAATACAATTGATTATACTTATAATTATAAGAATTATAATTGTAATTATATTATAATTACATATAATTATAATATAATATTATATTAACATTAATCATATTATTATTATTATTATATTGTAATAATAATAATAATAATAATAATAATGATAATGATAATGATAATGATAATGATGATGATGATGATGATGATGTTGTTGATGATGATGATAATAATAATAATAATAGTCTTCTTAATAATTACATTTATATTACTATTATTATATTAAAATATTATAACTATTATTAATATCTTATTTTTGTTATCATATTATTATTAATATTATTAATAATAATTATATAATAATAATCATAATTGTAATAACAATAATAATAATAATAATAATAATAATTAATATAATAATAAAAGTGATAAATCATGTTTGAACTTTTCTGATCTGATCTGAATGTTTCTGATCTGATCTGAATGTTTCTGATCTGGTCTGATCTGATCTGAATCTTTCTGATCTGATCTGAATCTTTCTGATCTGATCTGATCTGAATCTTTCTGATCTGATCTGATCTGAATTTTTCTGATCTGATCTGATCTGAATTTTTCTGATCTGATCTGATCTGATCTGAATAAAATAAGAATAAGCAATAAGTAATAAGAATAAGACGAACAGAACAGCACCTTAACCGAGTCTTCGCTCTTTGTGGACTGAAGAAGCTGTATTATGTAGTACGGACTACCGACTATAATTCGTTCATACCAACTTTAACTTTCAAAATTGACGTTAATTGCCTATAATTGTACTTAAAAAGGACACGGTTTTGTTCGATTCGATCGATATCGGAAAATTGTACCACGTTTGTCTTGTTTCGGCCTAAGGTAGCCAACCTCAATCTGTCCAAAAATACAATAAATTTAACGTGTTCCCCCTAATTAGTACTTTAAATTTTGGAAGTATTTAATATGATTCGAGAGAATATTCTGTACCAATTTATAATTTGTTTAGTTGATTTAATCATCATATTTTACATCACGTACTCAATGTTCATCCTAGGGGTGAGTTCGATTCAAACGGTTCGGTTTTCACCTAAAACCAAATGCCGAACCAAAGTAAAAAGTTTGGTTCGGTTCGGTTCGGTTTTATGTTCAAAAATTTGGAACCATGGTTTGTTCGGTTCGATTTATTTCGGTTCGATTTCAGTTTTTTCGGTTTTTATCAAAGTATTTTTGTTGATTAAAAAAATAGCAATTGGAAAACAAAAACAAAAAATAAACTACACCAAACTACGAAGTATTATTTATAGTAATACAATACAAAAACATACATAATTAAAAAAGAGAAGAAACAAATGCACTTGCAAATAATGAATTAGAGAGTATGTGTATATCAATTTAAACATTTTCTAAATTAATTAAACGCATGACTTTATTTGTGAATTATATAAAGAGTCGGGATTATTCCTATCCGGAAATTCCGGACAGGAGCCCCGTCCGGCCTCCTCCATTTGGGGGCCTTCCTGGTGGTATTTTTTGCTCAAATTTTTTGTGTATGTTTCTCATCAAGTTTAGTTCATCCATACCAAATTTCAGCATAAAATTCAATTGGAAAGGTCGTCAAATGATTTTTGTAAGTTAACTGGTCCGGAATATGTATTTTAAGAGTATTTTAAGAGTATTTAAAATAGTATTTTAAATAAGTGGTCCTGGCGCTCCGGTCAGGAAATTCCTGACAGAAAGATTACTCTACAAAGAGTATTTTAAGAGTATTTAGGGAGTGTTTGCAACTGCTTCTGCTTTAAAAAAAGCACTTTTGGAGATGTAAGGAAAAAGTGATTAGTAGGAAAAGTTGATAGTGTTTGAGAAAAAGTGATTTTGAAAAGTAAAAGTTGATAGTGTTTGGTAAAATAAGTGCTTTTTGTGTAATAGAAAGGGGAAAAGCACTTTTCACACGCAAGCCGAGAAAAAGTAAAAATTGGTAGTGTTTGGTAAATAAGTGCTTTTTTAAGCCAAAAACTGAGAAGTGCTTTTTTTTTAAGTGATTGCAAACACTCCCTTATTTGGCTAAAGAGGTGAATCTTTTGAGATATATGGCCATTACTCATTACTTCATT